GCAGCCGCATCAGATGGCAAAATCATCTTCCGTTCTACCATCTTACATACCGGTTGCTGACGTGAGCCTGAATCTGGTCTAAGTTGCACAATGGACATATCATATACTGTCTAGCGGGCGCCCAGTCCCTCAGAAAAACACTTCAGTGATTTTTTAACTGAATCACCTCAGTGATTTATACGTTTCCTCCGCATGCTGTGATGAGGCACACACCGTGGTGTGGAGGATAAACCGTCAAAGAAAAGGTGGCTGTGCCAGAGTTAACCGAACAAAACTCAAAGCAGCCAAGTATCACAGAGCCGTCATCTGAAATTCCATTCGGACAGGAAGAAGGGTAAGTGGGTATCTTGTCCAAGCCGACGCTTAACGAACCTGAATAATAGCCAAAGCCATTCGCCAAGATCGAACAAATGGAAAGCACAAATAAAAACTGCACCGTCCCTGCGTGCTGATCGAGTCATACGACTGACAGATGACAGAGAAACTTCAAAGGTAACGGATTGGCATTGAACGGATACAAAAGCCGAATTGGAAGGCTTCTGCTCAAATAAGATGATGAGCCAAAAATGGATATGGTTATGGTGGCAAATCGCACGAGACATACGAGTGTGGGCATTGAGACTAGGAAATGACCACCCCTATTAATTAGAAAAAAAGATCCGTCAATTGCCCTGTCAATTTTCGTTGTCAAAAAAATGAACCAGATTTAGTCTGGATTTTGCATGCAACTGCTGAAAGAGTTTGCCGTCTTGTAGTCGATGAGAGCAAACAGTGACGTCTGATATTCTGTCCAGTTTGTCTCATCTAGCCGTTGACGAACCGAGGTCTAAACGCAAGGCAAACATCGGTGACCGATCTTCTTCGAAGGAGAGGGTAGGTCTTCGCCTCGTCATGCGTCTGTCATTAGACATCATGACTTGTTTTTTCTAAGGAACGAACTTCGCCACGTTCTGGTAGTCTCATCGCTGCCTATCCGCAACTCATTCCATATCTGTACGTCGTTCCGCTTTCCCCAACCCGAGGACACGCCATACAACCAGCAGTTAGGCACAGGCAATTCATCCATAAATTTTGAATTATCGAGGTTTTGTTACGCACAACTGTCACCAGCTTGTTACTTACTCGTCTGCTCGAAACGGGAACTCGTGTAATCCGGATGCCGGTCAAGTCGCAAACCTTGATCTGGCGGTTGTCGGTAGGAATGGCGATCAAACTGTTCGTCTTCGACAACGAAAGACTAAAACGAGGTGACGATTGGTGAAAAGAACGAAACAATGCGCTACCGATTCACGGCCGAGTCGGTCCTGATGGTCGCCAGAGCGGTTCTCATGTTCCGAAAATCCCACACCTTCACCGTCCTGTCATCGCTTCCGGAAATGATCTTGTCACCGCTTGAGAAGATGGCACTCGTTACGGAACTAAGATCAATCAGGCAAAACATTAATCACGGCCAGCGCATGGCGACAATGGCATGTCGTGATTACTTCGAATGCCCCTGAAACACAGCCACCGAGTGGATACACTCGCGAAAATCCCACAACCGAAACGTCGTGTCTTTGCTGGACGTAACGACGAGTTTTTGAGACGCGTGCGCACAGCAGTAATTTAGTTCCTGATCGTGGCCGGTAAGAATGTTGAGGATTTCGCCGCGCTCCGCGTCGTAGATCAGCGCCGTTCTATCCCACGACGCTGTGATGATCTGGTTATCGGTGGCCAACCAATCGACGGCCACCACCGGCGCAGTGTGACCAGTTAGTCGCAAGACCGGTGACTTTATGGTCAACGACGATTCGTTTTCTACAATATCAATGCTGTGACTGAAGCATTCAGCGTATCGACAGCAGACGTAGACTCAAACATAGCAACGTACACGTATTAACATATCTTTAAGTGCCTTCTTAACCAACAAGACACTGACAAACACCATGAATGCCAACGCAAGAACGAACTGCATCAGTTTAGTATAGCCATTGAGAGCGTTTGTGCACAGACAGATGTTCGGTCAAGTTTTCGAAAAGGATACTTCTACCGTACTCGCAGCTGATCACAACAAACATACTTGGCCAATTACCGGTCACCGCTTCTCGATTCATTTACTGTCGATTTTCATATCCAACCATCATATTTCCATTTCCAAAAAGCAACAGCCATATGTCATTTAATTTTAGGGCCATAAAAGACCTTCTGCTAAACTGTGCGCTTCGTATTGTCCACCACTGACAAGAAAAGGCGAATCACCGCACAGAAACAAGACCAAATTCGTTGAAGAATCAAGTAAGCGAGCTGCTCGCAACTACACAG